ATTACTAGAAAAAATTTTAGATAAAAGCTAAAGTTTGAACAATTTTTTTTACAAAAAATGAAAAAAATTAATTGGGTTCAATTAAAATTAATAAAAAATCAGGATCATATTTAAAAATTCCAAAAATTTAGTATATTAAAATTCAATAATTTTATACTAGTGACAAAAAATTTGACTCAATTGGATAAGATAGTTATTAAGAAATTAATTTTTAAAGTTTAAATTTTTTTTGTCACATATGGGTAAAAAAAAACTACTGCAAAGAGGTTTTTATTAATTTTACTATATAATCTTATTAAAATTACATAGTAAAATTAATAAAAACCTCTTTGTGACGGATTTTTTTTACCTATATGTGATGAAAAAAATTTTAAACTTTAAAAATTAATTTCTCAATAGCTATCTTATCAAATTAAGTCAAATTTTTTGTCACTAGTATAAAAATCATTAAATTTTAATATACTAAACTTTTAAAAATTTTAAATATGATTCTGATTTTTTATATTTTTAATTGAACCCAATTAATTTTTTTCATTTTTCGTAAAAAAAATTGTTTAAACTTTAGTTCTCATTTAAAATTTTTTCTAGTAATTGAAAAATTACCCAAAAAATATACAATCTAGGCTAACTATTTACTAAGTTTTGGGGAAAGTTTCAAGGCTGTAGCACCTCTTTGTAAGTAGATATAGGTGCAGAGTTTTTTTTGTCTTGCACTGTATTTGTATTGTATTGTCACTCAGGTTCTGTTTTGCTACTTGGCTGTATATAAGCATATCCTGTTGTGCCAATATTGTTAAGTCTGTGTCAGTTTCCATTTTTTTGTTGTAGTGTGTATTATTTGCTACTTCAGGTTTAGTAGTTTGTGCATTTTCTAGATTACCTTGCTCTGTTGCTGCATTGTTAATCTTAGACTGAGACATAGCTATATTGTTGTTGTCATTAGTATAGGATAAATTATCTAAAATAGTAATGTTGGAGTTGTTGTTGTAGAAGATTATTATTATATTGTTGTTTTTTTTCATAGTTTCTGTTTGGATATTATTAAAACCTGTTTGGATGAGTTGGTTGTTGTTGTTGTTTTGGTATGATGATATTATGCTATTTTTTAAAGAGGATAAGCTAGATGACTTACTTTTGGTGTTTAAGTATAGTTTAAGAAGAAGTGTACATCACCTTTTTGCACTGGTATCAGTATAGATAGAGTCAAGTTTGGCTGAGGCCTTTTTTTTGCCTTTATTTTTGCTGTTGTTACTACTGTTGTTATTGCTTATTTGGAGTTGTGGTTGTATTGATAGTGTAAAAGATGCAATAGGGCCCAAGAGCCTTGTATTTTCTTTGTTGTCAGTGATATAGTTCTTGCTACTCTGTTTTTTTTTTATATTAATATTTAGTAGAGTAGTGTAGTAGTATATTGGTATATGTTTGCAGTCTTTTTTTTTGTATAGTTAATTATTTATTTAATAAATTGTTAGTTTTGTCACTGTAGAAATTAGGATCTATAAAAAAGAGTTTTTTAATGATTATTTCATTATACAATAATTTATTTTATTATTACAATTTTTATTAGTTTATTTATATAGTTTATAGTCTATTTTATTTATTTTAGATATTTTTATAATAGTTTATTATATATTTTATTAGTATATTTTTACAGAATTCTATCTAAAGCAATATTTGCAAGAGTTTGGGTTTTATAGCTTAGTAGTTAAGCTCCCTAACCCCCACAGACAAAATCAATAGTTTGAGTCGAGCTGGAGACAAATTTTAATAAAATTTGTCTCTGTAATCTACAGGCTATATAAATCAAATGCGAAGCCCTGTGAAAAGCCCAAATACAGTATAAGACCAGAATAAGGAGTTCCCATATCAGCAAATTTAAAGGTGTAAAATATTGTAAAAGAAATTGCATTATAAAAAAAAATTGAAAATAAGCACAAAAAATTTCAAAATATTTCGAAAAATAGTATTTTTAAAAAATATTGATAAAAATTTTAAAATATTTTGAAATTTATTGTATATATTTTATTTAAAATAATTTCAAAATATTTTGAAATAATTTGAAACCTTGTGAAATAAAATAAATATTGTACTAATATGATCTATACTTTATTTAATTGTCTTGTATACTTTATTATTTTGGATCTTGTTTGTCTTTAGCATTTATTTATTTTATTTTATTTTTTTTTTTCTTTATTATTTTATTAATCAAACATTTTACAAAACACCCAACTTTTATTAAAACTAATAAAAGATAAAATACTTCATGTTTGTTTTTTTTTTTGTCTTTTTTTGTTTTTTGTTCTTTTTTTTTTCTTTTTTTTTATTTTTTTTATTTTTTTTATTTTTATTTTTTTTTAATTTTTGTTTTGCCAAGTCTTTCATTGTATTTTTTTTGCTTCTTGTTTACTTTTTTTTTATATTATTATTATAAACTACAGTTTTTTTAAAGTTTGCTTTGCTAGGCCGGAAGCTAGTATAAAGATAAGTACATATTATTTTTTTTGTATTTTTTCTTATTTTTTGTTTTTATTAATAGTTTTCTTTCTTTTTTTAAATTCTTGCTTTGCCAAGAGCTTAAGATCTTGAAGCTACAAAGATAAGTACTAGTTTTTTATTATATTTTCTCTGTTTTATTTTTAATTTTTATTTTTTTTAATAGACTAATATTTTTTTTTAGGAGTTTGCTTTTTTTGGATATACAAAGATAAATACATTTGTACCAATTTTTTTTTTGTGTTTTTTTTTTTTGTTTTTATTAATAGTTTCTTCTTTTTTGCTTTGCTAGAAAAGTTATTGAATTAGCTTAAAATCTTGAAATCGGGCTTGAGATCTTGGAATCAAGCTTGAGATCTTGAGACCAGAAACAAGTATAATGATAAGTACCAATTTTTTTCTTTCGTATTTTCTTGTTTTATCTTTTTTGTTTTTGCTAATATTTTTTTCTTTTTAGGGGTTTGCTTCACCAGAAAAAGTAATTAAAATCAGGTCTTAAAACCAGTCTTGAGATCTTGAAATCAGGTTTGAGATCTTGAAGCTAAAGCTGATATAATAATAAGTATTTTTTTTTTTGGTTTTCTTGTTGTCTTTTGTTTTTATTAATAGTTTTCTTTTTTCAGGTTTTCGCTTCACTTTGCTTTACTTTACCAGAAAAGGTTTTTGAGATCTTGGAATCAGGCTTGAGATCCTGAAACTGGAACTAATATAAAGATAAGTACTAGCCTTTTTTGACTTTTTTTTATTTTTTATTAATGTTTTTTTTCTTTTTTAAACTTTTGCTTTGCTGAGAAGATATATTGGAACCAGGCTTGAGATCTAAGAATCAGCTTGAGATTAGAAGCCAAAAACTAGTACAAAAATAAGTATTAGTTTTTTTTTGTTTCTTCTTTCTTTTTTTTTTTTTTTTTATAAATGTTTTCTTTTTTTTTAAGGTTTGTTTTTACCAAGAATTGTGTATTGAAACCAAACTTGAGATCTTAGAATTAGGCTTGGAATTCTAGAACCAGGAATTGGTAAAAGATAAGTACTACTTTTAGTTTTTTTTTATTTTTTACTAATATTTTTTTTTTTTCAGGCTTTTGTTTTACTGGGAAGGTGTATTTGAACCAAGCTTGAGATCTAAAAATCAGCTTGAGTTTCAGAACCAGAAACTGGTACAAAGATAAGTGCTAGTTCTTTTTTTATTTTTTTCTTTACTTTTTTTTTTATTAAATTTTTTTTAAAGTATTTTCGCTAAGAATTGTGTATTGAAACCAGACTTGAGATCTTGGAATCAGACTTGGGGTCCTAGAACTGAAAATTGGTATAGTCTTTTTTTGGTTTTGTTTTTTGGTTTTTTTCATTTTTTTTACTAATATTTTCTTTTTCAGGCTTTCACTTTGCCAGGTAGATTTAATGAAACCAAGCTTGAGATCTTGAAACTAGCTTGAGATTTTGGAGCAGATAATGGTACTTGTTTTTTTTTTGAGAAGAAGTTTCTTGCCGGCATGGTGTATTGAAACTGGGCTTAAAATAAATAATTTGAACATAGTGCTAGTTTTTAATTTTTAGTAATAAATATAATAATGTATAAATATATTATATAAATATTTAATAATTAATTTGTAATAATTAATAAATATATAAAAACTAGAATATCAGAAACTGATAAATATTCAAAGCAATAAGGGTGTGTATTTAATTTATTATATAAAATATATGTAGTATAATATTAATTAAAATATAATTAGATATTGCTAACAGATATTGCATAGTTTGGTGTAGAAATAGGTTCTCTGCTATGTTTAGACAATTAATATGTAATAAAGTAATTTTTTTAATAAATAAATATATATGTATTTATTATATATTATTTTAGTATATATAAAATTGATTTTATATTTTATTTATTTTGAAATATATTAAAATATTTTGAAACATTTCAAAAAATTTTAAAATATTTCAAAATATTTTGAAAAAATTTAAAATATTTCAAAATATTTCAAAAAGTTTAAAAAATTTTGAATTTTTCAAAACATTAAATATTTACTAAGGTGGGTATGGGTATTGTGACAACTACCAATTATGACGCAGTTGCGATATCTCATGACTCAGTGATCAGAATTCGACGATTTTGGTATCAATCGATCTGTCTTGGTTAGACGAATCGATTGGTACCAAAATCGTACAATTCCGATCGCTAAGTCACGAGATATCTCCATTCAAATAATTATTTTTCTTTTTATATAGTGTCTTGAAGAGAATCATGTACTATACGTTTATAAAAATTTTTTTTTCGTTAAACAATTATTATACAATGCTTATATTTTTATATATCGGGACTAGATTAAATATTATGTATTATAAATATACTGTGTAATTTGAATTAGGGCCATCAACATTAAATAAAGTCTCTTGTGACTAGTGCTTAAACATCCTTTGCACTGTCATTCAAAGCAGATCGAAAAGCCAGAGCAGATGAAGAATAGCCCAAAACTCAATAGCTAAAAAAAAGATGCAAGACCATGCCTTTTGCTCAGCTTCTTACTAATGATGAATCGTTGTGTTTGTTGAGGGAAGCAGAGGAGGAAGCAGAAAGAACTGCTAACGAAAAAAGACAAAAAAAAAAAATGGCCACCTAACGACGGATAGCACAGGAGACTGAGAAGGTACAGAAGCAGGAAATTTGCAAGCAGAAGAAAGAGGAAAGGGACCATATGAAGATGGAACAACAATGTATTAGAGAGGCAAAACGAATTGAAAAAAAAAATGCAAAAAAAGTGGTACTACCTGATTACATATAGCCTGTATCATTTTTGGTCGTTACCTCAACAATCTCAATTTTGGAAAGAAATTTTATGCAATTATAGAAAGTTTTTTTTTTAATAATAAAAAGAATTTTTTTTAAAAAAAAACTTATTTCAAGTTAAAATAAACTTACTTTAATAAGGTTTGACAATATTTAAGTCAATTTGACAAAGTT